ATTCAGCTGTATCGGTCTTCATCCAGAATACCTTGTTCGGCTGTGTTCCTCAATTATTGGAGACTGTTACCTCTATTAAACCTCTTCCGCTCCACAACTTCGGGTTCAAGGTCCACCCATTGCCCTTTGCTCATTTGACCACCTTACGGAGCTTTCGGCATCAAAACATCCACAAGCATGAAGGTCCGAAGGAACAACCCTCAGGGTACCCATCTCTAGGTTGTTAATGTTACTGATGAAATGAATTTTGTGTAGTTCCTTCCGCTCAGTGAGTTTGAGGACGTGACAAGTGCGCTCAACTTTGACACGGAAGACTGCCACGTAGTTGGGGGATGTGATCTATATACAACAAAAGCTGCTGGAGGGGATAAGAAGCTGTACAAGAATATCGAAAACTCTCTCGAATCTCAATATGAATCACTCTTGCGGCTCTCGGCGTCGCTTTCGCCTCCCAACGCTTCGCATGCGGCTCAATCACTGAACTTGTCCCGTTCAAGTCCTTTTGGCCCATTGAGTGAACACTCAAGTCGACGGACATTCGCATACCTCATCGCGACACTCAATGCCAGTCATCCAGATTACGACTTCTCGCATCTCCTCCGTCCATCAGATTTTCGCCGCGAAAGAAGCCTGAAGCGGGTGATGAATACCATCGATACCACATTGTTCAACCTTCGGCCACGCTTGGAGAGAGACGTTACCCCTCCATTACATGCCACCTCCTCTGGCTCTCATCCAACTGTTACAGCCCACTCATGGGGACCTCGCATGTGGAAAATAATAGATGATCAAATGTTTTTGAAGGAGTGCGCGGTATTTCTGCTATGCCCCAGAGGAAGACCCGTACGATGGTGAAGATGGCGCAATCTGGAGCTTGAACTACTTCTTTTTCAACAAGACTAGGAAACGCGTTTGCTATATCTATCTTCGTGGAATCAGTATCCTCAGCGGCCCAGCAGATGGGACCACGACCCCATCATTGGCTGGGAAACGGTACGACGACGATGGATTTTCAACGCCTGACTACGGTGCACGGAAGCGTGCACGATACTGGCTAGGCGATCGTGCGTCACTCAGAATCAGCGATTCAAGTAGCGATGAGAATGAATCATCCGCGGCAACCGCAAGGCCGAGCCGACCCATTGTTGACGAATATGATAATTATCTTCTTAGTGACGAAGACACCCGCTCAAGGTCTCGCAGCAAGAGCTCGGTTCGTGCAATGAGCGAAGAAATCGCCGATGCCATGGAGGTTTAAGTGAGGAGTGATATACTCTCCCAGCTCGACTGTTCAACTCAAGTCACAAATCCCATTATTCTCATCTAAGTATAAGGCACGGTGGTTCTCTGCTTGCGTTTGATTTAGGCAACGGAATGTTACTAAATGACGTCTACATTCATCCCCAGACCTCGGTGTGAAGTATGGTGAAACTATCGTGAAATATTTCCAACATGCTATTATCATGCCCATTGCTATTCTTTTACACTGATTTTGACTTTTTGCTTTCCAATTCCAGCTGAGTCCGACGGCAGTTTTTGGAGTGGCGTTCCGTGGACTTGTTTGACTTTATTTTCTTTTGCTACCCTTTTTATGAATGATAATGACATGGGGCCTCGCTTGCAGTTTGTTTTTTTTTTTTTGTTTGTTTGTTTTTTTTTTTAATTCACATCTTCCACTCTACGGTATTGTGCATACTAATCCGGTTATGGGAGGTTGGGCGGGTTCCGGTATGGGTGGTTTGCTGGGATTTTATTTTGGCGGCAGGGTGGCATTTGCATATTTTTACTTTTCACTCTCATATTTTTCACTCTCATATTTTTACATACTATTACTATTGCAGTTTTACTACTATTTTTATTTTACTCATTTCTTTTATGAGGAATCTTCGCCGGTGTATGAGCCAATTTACGTAGCAATGTATCATAATGTTTCAATATTGTCTCATAGATCCAATGACATAAGCGCGATATGCGGTCACATGCTCCAGATTCCAGGTTGGACTTCTCCCGAGACAGCTTTGATATACAAAACAGCGCAAGGGCAAGATCATTGAACGCTGTTCACTACTCTTTTCTGACAACGTTTCTGCTTTTCCACTCTTGCGGGTACCAATGGCGGACGTGGAAGATAAGGCGAAGGCTGAGAAGCTTGCCGCTGCTAAGAAGCGGGTACGTCTTGTGTTATATCTGCGTATAGTAACCAGTATACTCTGGCATTATCTCCCTTTCCCCCAACTGGTAGATTGATATATCGATTTCTGCGCAATCTTCCGCCGTGAAACCTTCAGGTTTTGCACGCGTTTACTACAGAGTGTTTGGTTATTACTGTTCGCTGTTGAAAAATTACAAGAATTCTAAGGGTTTAAATATTATAGGTTGCGCAGTTACAAAAACAACAAGCGAAGGCCAGGAAGAAAGGTGCCGGGGCAGCTGAACAAGACAAAAAGGGCGAAGCGGCGTCGGCGTTGACGAAAACGGATGAGACGGAGGCTCCTCCCTCCACCTCTTCTCCTCCACCAGTCCAGGAGGAAGAACAACAGCAACAAGAACAAGAAGAACCCTCATCCCAGTCGCCCATTGCTCCTCGCGCTCCGGAATCCGACGAAACCCCAGAACCAGAACTCTTTGCCCCGGCACCCACAAAAGAAGTGACCACTGGTGAATCCCCTTCCACACGAACCCCACACGCCCGCAAACAATCCCTATCCGTTCAATCCAAACTTCGCTCCTCCGACTTCCGCCGCACGTCCGTCAGCCAGCAGACCGGTGCTCAGCCAGTCGCCCCATCTTCCAATGTCAAATCACCCACGTTACCTCCTCTCAATCCTGATGGTGACGCAGTGCCTGAGGTATTTAGGAAGCAGGCTCTGCGGCTTGAGGAGTTGGAGCGGGAGAATAGACGGCTTGAAAGGGAGCTGGAGGAAGCCGGTGCCCGGTGGAAGAAGTCAGAGGAAAAGCTGGAGGATTTGGGAGACGCGAGGGTGGAGTTGGTTGAGGTACAGGATCGGCTGGGGAGAGCGGAGAAGAGGGCGGAGGAGGTGGAGAGGCTGGTGAGTTTTTGTGTGTTTTGGATTTTAACGAAGCGTTTTATTTCATTTTCATTTCACTTTTTTTTATGCTGACATTTCAATCTGTGCAGAAAGCGGAAATCACAGTGCTACAACGGCAAAATGCGCAACTGCATAGCAAATCACGGACGAATAGCGGAGCTCCTGGGAATTCAGAGTCGCCTCAGTCAGCTTTGCTCGCTCAATTGGATTCTAAATCAGCGACGATTGAAGCCATGGAATTAGAAATATCGAACTTGCGCGCCCAGCTTAATTCTCAATCATCGACTTCGTCTGCTAGTCGGGAACAGATATCTGCTTTGGAAGACAAGCTCGCTCGGAGTGAAGCAGCATTAGAAACCCCTCTACCGCAGCTCACAGATGCCAAACACTCCCTCAATCGTGCAGC